TCTCACAGATGGCGGCAAATGTTTGTGCAAGATTTGCACAACGTCAATCTATCTCGAACCCGGTCCTTACCCCGACCCGAAACGCTAAAGGAACACTTGCACAAGAGGGCAAAATCTCCGACGCTCAAGTCAGTATGCAGCTCGGACTCAATATTAGGTTCGAGGAGAAATTTGATACCTGGTGGTGAAATGAAGCCCTCTATTTATAGGTTTAGGCTTCGATAGGGGTTGCGACAGGCGGTTACCTTGGTTGGACTTGAGGTCGGATGTGTCGGGTTCGAGCAGATCAAACTTGGGCACAGTCCTAGAAATAACAGGTTGGTTCCTGAACAGGAAATGGCAATAGTCTCATCTCGGAACCTTCCGAGATGGAGCTCCATAAGTTTGTTCCTTCGAATCCTCCGTAGGCGGCGAATCTTCACCCTCCACGTGGCAATAGGACTTTTCATCCCCAAACAATTGCATTTTCATTTTTGGGGTTAATCTCAGTACTTACAATGGTGGTGTCGCATTTCCATGTCTGCAATCAATATCCGTATCTACCGAATCAGATGCAACAATCTCTCCCCAACTCATTCAACAGAATCATTAGAACCTTAAATGTGAATTGAATTCATTACTTAGAGTTCTTTACGTTTATGGTGAGATCTGGTATGTGCCGATGTCCCACTCTCATTTATATATGGGGTCAATGTGAATATATATAAGTGTTTGCACTACTGCCCCACTTTTATTTATGGTTTCAATATACGAGTATCCACGATGGACTTCACTTGTGTCACATTTCCATTTATAGGGTACATAAATGTCGGTATCTGCAATTGTTTGCAATGGTGTCCCACTTTCATTTATGGTATCTATATGAGTATCCATAGTAGTCTGCAATTGTGTTGCACCCTTATTTCTACGATTAATTCGGCATCTACGTAAGTAGTATCAACAACAATGTAGTAATCGCTCCCCAACTCATTCAAAAGAACCGCTAAAACCTATGTCACATCCCTATCTTCAAATAGCCTAATAATAAAAAAACTTGTTTACATTGTTCCTGACCACCGATAGGCATGCAACTTTTTTCCCGTCAATTAGATGAATATTCATGGTAAAGTCTTTGATGAGATGGGACAACGTAGAGTCATTATGGATTGACATCGATCTAAGAGATTTTAAAATTGTTATAGACATTATTTTCGTCCCAAGTACCATCATATACAATTGTGATTAAGTACACAATTGCACAGGGGAGAGCTTAAAACAATGATAGATGGATGATGGGGATACTTTGGTAGATATTTTTTAAAAAATGTTTAAATTAATTTAAATTCAAAACTAACTAAAGACTAGCATCTAATCTAATTTGTGGAAATATATTTACAAAACAACTAAAAATCCATATTGGAAAAGGACGTTCGTTTCAAATCCCATGAAGGGGCCATTTATTTTTCGGGAATGCAGATGCCTGAAATTTCAGATGTCTAGAATTTTAGATGTTTGGTATCTTCAGATGTCCTTTATCTTTAGATTTCCATGTTTGTTTCGTAGTAAAATATATAAGGATGTCCGGGAATAGCCACGTTTGTTTTGCATGATTTATTCATGAGAATGTTCTAAATTTATATAATGTTCCGAAAACGTCCTTACAAATATTTATATAATTTATACATTAATCTAATATAATTTGTATTTATATAATAGATTTTCTTAAAATTAATTTAATATTTTAGGTTTTTTTATATTAATTGCATATATGTATTAATTTTGTATGTTATTAGTAAGAATTATGTTAATATAAGACTTTTTAAAAGTAATTAATATTGAATATAAATTTCATTTTAAATTTTAATACTTTTTTAAAAAAATACAATTATACAATTAGTATTATATGGGGGTAAACGGCCCCTTGAAGTGTGTTAGATGATCCCAAGAGGGAGGCACCAAAAATATGGTCAAGAGGAGCAAATGGAAAAATCATCTATTTTCTAAAAGTCCTAAAAATTAATTTGGTCATTTGTGCAAAATATGGAAATATTAGTCCTTTATTAAAATAGGTGCTTAAATTGAGCCACTTATCTTTCTTTATTTATATGTAATTAGGAATCAAAGCTGTGCTCCATCAAAAGTTTGATATTAAACTCACCGAAAGTTTGAATTTAAGACCTCTAAATTAGTAACCTTAACACCTCCTCTTTTATCACTCTCATTCTTAATATCTTATATGGGAAATTAGAATAAAATTTGTAAATGAATCACTTTTCCAATAAGCATTATATAAAAAGAGAATAAATGAAGGAATGCTTCAGCCAAAGAAATAGAGTTACCCCATAAAATTAAACAAAACTAAACCTTTTCAAGCGTGATATTGAAAACTTAAACTGATGTAGTATGTACACAAGTAAACAGACATAAATTAAAACCTAAATTTCAATGCTAATCGGATCCCTCCTTCGAATATGGGAAAAGCATTTCAAACCCACGTGTTACCTCTCCAAAAATAATGAAAGATAACACCAACCAAAAAAAAAAAAAACTCACATGAAAAAACCATAAAAGCACATAATAATTTAACCAATCTAGCTATAGCTATACTTGAGTTGTGCATTCATCACCATCTATAACCTACATAATTTTTGTTCAAATAATACACTAGCCATCACGAGGATGCACAATGATCCTGGTCGTTGTCGTTTTCATCATCATCAATTTCCCTGAAAATGGGATCTCGGAGGAGGTCGGCCGCGGAGGGCCGCGCTTGGGAGTGGGCGAGGCACTTGTCAATGAAAGCCTTGATCTCAGGGTCCTTGACCTTGTGAAGGGCCTGAGGCTTAATCCCGGAGGATACTTTCCTATAGATCTTGGCAACATTGTCACATTCACTATAGGGAATTTCCAAAGTGACCAATTCAAGCAAACACATTCCAAATGAGTATATGTCCACAAGCTCTGTGTAATGTTCCTCATATAGCTCTGGTGCCATGAATTCTGGTGTCCCAAGCACTGAATGTGCTGAGTGATTCTTCCCCACTGTTGCTGCCAAACCCAAGTCCCCAATCTTCACCTGCCCACCACACTACAAAATTTATTAAATCTACCAAAATAAACACTATAAATTAGTAGCTTTCCCGACGGTTTTATTTGCGACCAAATCATACATACAAAATTTATTAAATCTACCAAAATAAAGCCAAAAATAACCCCACCCATGCATCTACTATAGTCTTTACATTTAACACTCTCACCTGCCCAACAAATGACATTGCAAAGTTTTCGACATGAAAAGAAATACTAAAACCCCTCCTCAAAGAGAGATTTTTAAAGTATGACACCAACCAAAATAAATATTTTCAAAGTAAAGAGATAGTATTACCTGGCCAACATTACCATTGACAAAGAGATTGCTGCAGTTGAGATCTCTATGAATAACACAAGGCTCATGGGTATGCAAATAATCCAAACCCTGAAGGATCTGCTTGGACCACTTCTTCAAGGCCTTCAAAGAAACTTGCCTGTGTTTCTTCCTGTACTCTCTGAGGTTCCCACTTGTACAAACCTCAGTAATGAAATTTAAGGTTCCATGAAGTTTGTCGAGCCATACATCGTACAAAGCAATTATGTTCTTGTTCTTTAGGGTTCTCAGCAATGTCACCTCCGAGTACAGCCTCTCTATCATCGATGGTTCGTTCGAAAAGCTCCTCAGCTTCACTTGGTTCCACGCCACCTCAATTCCCTCTTCTTGATCGAATGCTCTGTACACTTTCTTCACTGCCCCCGTCCCCAGAAGCTCCCCGTACCGCCCGTACCGCCCTGTCGGGTTCACCTCCACGAACGGCTCCGCATCCTTCTCCGACGAGTCCGTCGTTGCACTAGGCATCTGAACTCAATTCCATAAATAGCATATAAAAAAGAAAGCATAACTCAAATCAAGTTTTTTTTTTTGCTTTTTATTTTTTTTTTCTGAAATTGGATCAAAGGGTGGCGAAATTTTGGGATGAGAACACAGATCAGGATTAATTTTGCTCTAAAAAACAAGAACTTGCAAATTAAACCAAGAGATATTCAGTCTACGATATTGGATTTGAAACTGGATTTTTTCGATCTTTCTAAAAATAATCCAACAAACATAAATAAATAAATAAAGGAGGGTTGTGAAAATTACGTACCATATATAAACGGAGGGAAAGGAAAAAAGAAAGAAATCTTGAGAGAAGAAATTGAAATTTGAAGGGAAAGTGAGGAAATTAAAGGTGGGAGAGCTGAAGAGATCTGTAGTGGAGAATTTATAGTAGTTGAAAAAGTAGGGTTGGTGGCGTTAATGAGACGTTAGGTGGGTGTAGAAAGGAATTATTTTCGAGTTAGGAAATTAGTTGTAGTTAGAATAATAATAATTTTTTTAATAATAAAGCTGAAGCGGATAACTTTTCTAACTGACGGAAAACGGAAGCTGGTGGATTTCTAGAAGGGAGAGGTAATTAATTTAATTTCGATATATGGATTTAGATGTAATTACATCAATATTTTATCCCCATTATTAGGGTATCATAAGTTAAAACTATTAATATTCTTTAAAAACTAATAATAAAAAACTTCCAACTGCTCATTTAATCTCAAATATAAAAACACCCGGTTTAAGGAATGGGGTGAGTGGATAAAATAAAGGTGAACATAAAAATGGGAAATTTTCTAAACCGCATCAAATATAATGTATTTTAAAATATAGCGGAAAACTAAAACTTTTTGAGTTGGGCTTGAATTTGTAAATAAAACTCTTGTTTATGCGAGGATTTGAGATCTTTTTAAACCATTAAGTTACTTTTTGAGTTGAGCTTGAATTTGTAAATAAAACTCTTGTTTATGCGAGGATTTAAGATCTTTTTAAATCATTAAGTTTTTCGAATGATGATAACATATCTTTTTAAACGTATAGATAACTCTTTTTAAAACGTTTATAGACCAAAATAAAATAAATATCTTATGCCTTCGATAACTAATATATAATAAACTTATAAATTAAAAGACTAAAATAATGATGCACATGAAATCTCAAAAAATCAATTCAATTGTTTTAGTCCGTATGTTCAACGTTAAACTCGATTTCGATTTTGTACGAAGAACCGTTCTAATGGTAATTATATATCTCTTATTTATTGAATTACGTTTTGACAAATAAAATTTAGAAGTTAAAAAGATAACTAGAAAAAGTAAATCTTAATTGAAGATATATATTTATATTATATGTTGTAATGGGGGGACCCACATCCACAAAATTAATGGCAACATGGAAGCTTCGAAACGAAAGTTGGAATGATCTGGCTGTTCATGTTGTTTGGATTCCAAGAAAAGCCATTACTTAAAAAAGTCAACAAATCGCGTTCGATCCACATGACACAATTTTGAAATGTCTAATTTTATGGAGGCTTTTTTCGAATATAATAACATTTTTATATTAAAGTCTTATCCTTTTTATTCAACAATATCTTTTTTTTAGAGTTGGAGAGATATTTTGGATTAAAATTCAAATTATTCACGTGGTACTTTATGAAATGAAATTTCAACCCAGATGAATTTTGTTTGGAAACCCAAACTAATTAATTAAGCCCACCTATAATAAGATAGAACTTAGAAAATTCTATTTGCATGACCAAAAATAAAAGCAATTTTAAATGATTCAAAATTAGCTAGATGTACCGTTTAGTATCTAATGTATATGTTTGTTCAATTGTTTTAATATTTTGTCGACCATAATATATAGTTCAATAGATTAAGCTATATGTATTCAACTACGAGGCTGAGAGTTCGAATCCTCACCCACACATGTTGTATTCAAAAAGAAAAAATTAATATTTTAAACATTTCAATTTTCCCTTGCATGTGAAAATTTTTTAAAAGTTTCATTAAGTCGGTGCTGTGACTAGAAAAAACATAGGCCCGTTTGATAATCATTTCCTTTTTTCTTTTTGATTTTTGATTTTTTGTTTTTTAAAAAGTGTATTAATCAATTAAATTTTCTATTTTTTGTTTTTTAAAAACTATTTTGAAATTATGTGTAAAGTTCAAAAAAAATAGTTTCTAAAAACAATTTATGTTTTTCAAAAAATCTGATTTTTTCTTCTAATACTCAACTTTTTTTTGTTTCTATTTATCTCTAAAAAATTTCTTTCTCACTCTAAAATTTTTTTCTTTCTAGATTTCTCTCTCTAAAATTTTCATATTTTAAATATTTATTATTATTTGTCTCTCTCTCCAAATTTTTATGTATTTTGTTTGCTAGCAGATCAGTTTCATTTCACTCTCTAAAAATTTAATAGTTTTCCTAATTTTTTTCTCTCTAAAATTTCGTGTTTTATACCTTTTCTTTTCCTTCATAATCAATTTTTTCCTCTTAAAATTACTTTTTTTCATTAAATTTTCTTTAATTGTAGCTTTTATTTATCTTTATATTTATTTATTTTCTCAAAAATTATAATTTGAATCTTGTTTTTATCTCTAAATTTGTTTTCATTATAATTTTTCTCCTTCTTTCTAATTTTTTTTCTTTAACATATCTTCTCCTCTCAACTTTACTTTTTTCCTTTAAAATTTTTCTCTTTTTGTCTTTATTTTTCTTTCACTTATTTTTTTTCTAAAACTTTTTATTTATCTCTCTAAAATTTATGTTCCAAAAATATATTAATTTCTGCAAGGTCGAGCCCAAAAATAGGAAATGCATGTCCCGACCCCGTCCTCGAATCCATTTTTTAAATAATTAATATATATTTATTACACTTTTTTATACTCAATTCTAAAAATAATTAAAAACAATTTAAAACCAATAATTTTTCTCGAGAACATCTCCCGATCTGAATAATGAGGTGGAGACGAAGACCAAAAATATTCACGAGCACGAGAATGGGAGAGCATCCTCACTTGCACCCACACCATTGTCATCTCTACTCTACATAAAAATTTCTCTCTAATATGTATTTTTAATTTTATAACTTTTAAAAAATAGAAAAATAAAAATGGTCACCAAACATGTTTGGTTTTATGTTTTTTAAAAACAAAAAACAAAAAATGGTTATCAAACATATATGGTTTTTGTTTTTTAAAAACATAAAACAAAAAACAAAAAACCAAAAACTAAAAACAAGAAAAACCAAAAACCAAAAACCAAAAACAAATGGTTATCAAACGAGCCTTAGTTTCTCTGATTTGAATTCCCTCTATCTAAGGAATTATCGTTTAGAATTTGAATTTACATCATCTAAGAAATTCAAATGAAGGAAGATATCTTGATGACTTTAAGTTTCCATTTGTTTATGCAAAGAATTGCACAACGGTGTTTACGAACCTAGCTCGAACCCGGTCTCCAGCTCGACCTGAACCTCAGAGTGAACCTGCGCAAGAGGGCAAACTCTCCGACGATCAAGTCAGTATAGATTGGACTCAATATTAAGCTCGAGGTGAGATTCAATACCTAAGTGTGAAATGAGGCCCTCTATTTATAGGTGGTGGGTTCGACAATACTCACGACCGGCGGTTATCTTTGTTTTTTGTCATGTCGAACCTGTCGGGTTTGAGCAGATCGAACCTGTTCAGGTCGAACCACGACTTTTTATACTTAGCCTCGTATATAGATAAACTTGTCCTCCTCGGCAGGTTCGAGGTGGACCTGGGATATTCTTTTATTTATTTAGCTCCACTGAACGTCCCCCACGTGTCCACAAGATCTCTCCCCCAAAACATTGGCCCCTTATCTGTCAGGTTCGATCTCGATCTGGCAGAGAAGTTACTTAGTTCAAATTTAGGACACGTGGTGACTTCTGGTTCGTAGAGAAAATATGACCGTTGTGAAAGTGGGAAAACGTTTCGACCTGCCAGGCTGTCGGAGCACTCGAGTATTCCGACATTACGAGTTTCGAGATGAACCTAGCCGCTCGTTTATTACATGTGTATGATGTAGAGAAATCCCGGTTAGCTATAAATAATTCCAAGACTTCAAATAAAACCTTACGCTTCCTGAGTTCTTGGAGTTTGATCTGAAATCAGCTCGAATCCTTTATAGGTCAGTCATTCTCATTTTAATATTGATTTCAAGTATGGTAGTTTTCATGTCTTCTTCCTCCAGTAGTGATAGCCTACGTAGCGCAGGTCAGACTGTAATCAGTTTGCCCCCTAAGCTAAGTGACTCTAGGGAAGACTTAGCTCTTAGGTTAGAGTCCGAGCTGGAAGAGATAGAAAATTTTAGGTTTTTTTTATGACAGGGAGGATAGTGACACCTCCACCTCGGGCTAGGGTTTGGAATACCCTTTAAAAATGTCCGAGCACTATCTCGGACCCCTCCGTAGGGGGTTTAGTATTCTAGAGTTCGGCCTCAGACTTCCCCTTCACCCTTTTATCCAAGAGTTCCTAAATCGAACTGGCCTGGCCACTGATCAAATGGCCCCCAATGGATGGGGTGTCATTTTTGCTTTGGTCATCCTTTTCTGGTTACGAACTCGAGAAGAGGACGGGGGCGAGCTGCTTGATGTCGACCAACTTCTAGCGTGCTTCGGAGCCAAAAGGATAGCTAAGAAGCCAGGTCGGTACTACATGTGCTCAAGGAAGGGCACAGGTGGTATAGTCAAAGGGCCGACCTCCATCAAAGGATGGGTGAAGAAGTGGTTCTTTGCCTCTGAAGGATGGCTGGCAAAGAACGAGTCTGGTCGTCCCTTCTTTGACGTTCCCGTTAGGTTTGGGAATTTAGGTACGAAGTCGTTTTGATTTTTTTTGTAGCTTTAAATTTTACAGCTCTTTTGCTTCTCATACGTGACTTTAATTCTTTTCTGTCTTATGCAGTGTCCATCAAACCAATTCTCGAGCTGACTCGAGCATCCTTTAATACCCTCACGTATTACAAGGATCGCCTCCCAAGCGGCAGGAAGGTCGGAACCTTGGCGACTGACCTGCTGTTACTCGAATCTAGGCTGTTAGATTATAACCCCTTAGTGCGTCTAGTTAAAGCTTCAAGGCCAAACTCTAAGCTCGGTAAGTCGAGCTCGACCTCGATCTAAATTTATTTTTCGATTTTGGTCTCTGACCTTTTGCTTGTTTGTTTTGCAGCTATGGTGTGCGGATTCTTAGGCAGAGTGAAACGTAAGTCTAAGGGCCGTGCTTACTCCCTCAAGCTGTTCACGGCACTGAGCCAATGACTCCCGCTGCTACTCGTCCTTCGGCTCA